TTCAAGTATGTGAATTAACTACCTTCTATTAACAGTTATATACTTTAACATTAATAGTTATAAAATTTAATAGTTAATAAAATCATTTTAACAGCTATGTAATTTAATATAAATAGTTAACTATTTTAACAGTTATAATAACTAACAGTTGACTGCTCTAATAGTTACTATAACTAAATATTCTAATAATTAACTGTTTAAAAGTTTAATGTTCTAATGATTAACTAATTATTTTAACAATTATATAATTAATTAAGCTATTTTTAATAAACTGTTATTAATATAACTGTTTTAACAATTATGTATAGCAATATCAAGGTTTATCTCATAGGTACTATGCAACAATCCATGCTTTTTTGACAAGGTTATTTTCATCAGTTTATATGAAATCACATGATTTATATAGACCAATGTGAATAACCTTGTCATTAATTATCGTGTTTATATAGTTTTGAGTTTTTTAAATTGTCATGTGCTAAAAAGAACTTTTTTTAAGGTTCAGCTTTTTAAATTGTCATGTGCTAGGAAGAACTTTATTAGGTTTTGGTCTTTTAAATTGTTGTATACTATGAAGAACTTTATTAGGTTTCACAAATATTTTATCTAAGTTATTTAAATTATTGTGTGTTGTGAAAAACTTTTAAAATTGCTACTTGCTAAAAAACTAGTTCTATTTTAAAATACTTAAATTATAAAATAATGATCGTTTTTGTGATACCAATGATGTTTCATGCAAATAATGGTCCTGATGATAGTTCACATAACAGTCATGATGATGGTCCTGATGATAATTGTTTTGTTGTTTTTATTTTCTTTATTTAACAATTAAATTTGTTAGCATACTTTGCACAAGGGATTTTTTGCTTTTTTTTTTACTTTTAAAAAGAAAAAAAAAGTTTAATTTGATTCATATTGCATGGGTTGTTACATTGTATCCATGGTATAATTTAGTCAGATCTCTTAATGGATCGATCTGTACTAATAATGCCTAATGAAATTATTTTTGTGATGATAAAAGTATTTTAGCATATTTTGTCTAATAAAACCCTTGATGATTGATAAAACCTATGGCAATTAATGAATTGTGGCAATTGATGAAACTTATGCAATTGACAAAACTCTTGACAATTAATAAAACCTTAATGATAATTAATAAAACATTAAAAAATATAATTTAGACAAGACAAAAAGTTAGAAATCTTTTTTGTAGTACTTGTATATAATGTTAAGATATGTATTATTTCATCAACAATTACTTTGCTAAGCATCCCATCACACAAAGCAATGATTAATATAATTATTTTCAATATTACTCCTTACACTATGTGATTTGTACTTAGTGAAGTAAACATTAATGAATGATATGTATTCATGATAGGGTACCCTTATATCAAGCAAAAGTCAGATCCTTCAGATCCAAATACTTATATTAGAATGTCTCAAGTATTTACCCAATATTAGGTTTGAATAATGGTAATATCAGTTAAAAAATCAGTCCTTATTTAACTTTTCAGAACTGATTTATATGGCTTTCAGTAATCATGGATATGAGTAAAGGCAAGTCAAAGAATAGGCACCAATATTCTAATACAAAGGTAGGATTTATCAACTTTATTAGTATCTATTTACAATATTTGCACATACTGATTACTACTCATAGGCAGAAGTTTGTCTGATTAGTTAATAAATTTAATTGAAATTTACATTATCTATACAGTTTAGAATACTTTTTAAAAAAACTCAAACTAGTTATAATGAAATAAAAAAAGCTGTATAGAAGGTTTTATTAGAGCTATAAAACTCCACAGTCAAAAATACTCATTTGTTTAAACAGATTAGCTTAGTAATAAGTTAATTTTATCAGGTTTTGTAAAGTTATTACTATGCTAGCTTTTTTAAACAGACGAGAATTAGATCTTATTTTTGGCTATGAAGTCCTACAGCTCTAATAAAACCTTCTATACAGCTTCTTTTTTTTTTTTATTATGATTAATTTTTGTTTTTTTAAAATGAATTAAATTAAATTTATTAGTCAATTAGACAAACTTCTGCCTATGAGATTATTACATTTTCATATTATTATGCTTGTATTACTGATTATTCTCCAATTTATTCTCTTGACCTCAATTAATAATTTGTGCTATAGCATACTATCATAATCGATTTATGTGATTATGAGACTACAACTCAAACCTTTATATAAAAATAAGCTACAAGTATTATTATTATTGTTTTTTCTTTTTTTCTTTTCTTTTTTTAACATGCTGTTAACTATTTTTTCCCTTAGTTTAAGCTCTTTCCAACTATTATACTGCATGTATTATAATATCTTAAGCATCAATTTGCGATATATTAAACATCCAGATATACCATTCAGCTGCATATTAACAATTATGTCAAATGTTAATTAAACTATTTAGCTGCATGTTAACAATTATATTAAATATTAATTAAATCAGATGCATACCAATATAAAATTAAATACAAGGGGTTAAAACAATTACTTTTTTAAAAGTTTTTATAGTGGCAAAGGGTTTTAAAAGTGTTTAGTAAACATATAAGTGATAATAGTATGAATCAACATTGTGTACCAGATTCAAGATATTGTGGCTTAACATTTTGAATATCTTATAATAGCAGGGATTTTAAAAGCAAATTAAATACTCTAAGTATTAATCACTCTTAGCAGATATTTACTGTTTTGTAAATATATGAGTAATAATAGTATAAGTCAATGTTGTGTACCAGGTTCAAGATATTGTGCCTTAATCTTATAATGGCTAGGATTTTAAAAGTAATTTAAAAACTCCAAGTATTAGTAACTTCTAGCAGATATTTACTGTTTTGTAAACATATGAGTAGTAATTGTATAGTTAAACATTGTGTACCAGGTTCAAAATATTGTGTCTTAACATTTTGAAATATCTTGAATCAAATAGTTCAAATTTAAATCAAAACAAGAATTTAATAGAAACAATAATAATATGATTGTTTTTTGTTATTATTTATTTTACTAATATCAAAAAATCCAAAACTTAATAGTAAACAGACAGTAAAGGAATCATTATTTTAGCTTTGTTTATTTTTTATATATAAGCCTAAAAAAAGAACTTAAAATAATCAATAAAAAAAATGTCTTCTGATTCTAGTTCATTTTTACAGTCTTAAAATTCCTCTGATAATTCAAATGCAATCTTATCTTCTAAAAAAACTGTTTGTAAAATAAAAAATAGATGTGCTACTAATGTAGTCTGTAATAGTTTTGTTCATCATTTTTATGAAGAGAATTTGGATTTATGAACTGCTCAATATAAAATTTGTATCAAAAAGTTTAAAGATACAGACACTGAAGCTTATATTTATCAAACATACAGCTTGACTACTAATTTGTGCAATCACTTAAAAGAACATGGAATCAATGAACTTAATTATAAAAATTTTCTTGACGAATATAATAAAGTAAGTTAATAATTTGTTATATATATATATTTTTTTTATATAATGTCTGATATATATATCTTTATATGAATTTACAATAGATACAAAAAATTAATTTTCAAGCTACAAATATGAATTCTGATTCTACCTCAATTAGTACTTATAAGCAAATAAAAATTATTTATCATTTGGTTACTTTTATAATTTGTGATGTTCAACCACTAATTATTTTAAAATGTCTGTTGTTTAGAGCATTAATACATGAATATGTACCAAGTTATTCTTTTCCATGCAACAAAACTATAAAAAATATTATTGTTAATTCATATACATGAACTCATAAGCAAATAATAGAATTAATTAATAATATTGCACAAACTATTAATTTAACAATGGATCTTTGGACAGCCAAAAGTAATTATGAATATCTTGGAATTATAGCAACTTGGCTTGATACAAATTTTAAGTTTTATGAAGTGCTTTTATCTTGTCATTATCTTTCATATCTACATACAGATAAAGTTATTAGAAACAAATTAATTAAACTTATTCAAGACTGGGGTTTAGAAAACAAAATATTTACTATTGTTATAGATAATAGCTCTAATCTGATTAAGGCTTGTTATTTGTTAGAAAAAGAATTTAGTTCAGTTAAATGTTTGTCTTGTGCTGCACATATGCTTCAGCTTTCAGTTCAATCTGGAATTAAGCAAATAACAACAATTCATAAATAGCTTAAAAATATACAAACTTTTTTTCATAGTCTCAAACAGGCTTAACAACTTTGTGAAGCTCAAGAAAATATTATGCATAATCAAAATGATTTTATAGAAAACAATAATAAACATTTGAATCCATTAGAGGTTTTAACTGATTATAAGACACATTGGAACAGTTTATATCTTGCATAGAAAAGAATTTTAGATTTAGATGATGCAATTAAAAGTGTTGCTGCTACTCTTTGTTTATCACAAAATTCACAAATTTGTAAAAAAGATGACCATCTTAATAAATTACATCTTAATTCAGAAGAATTCAAGTAAGTTTTTAATTATTTTATTTTAAGTAGTAGATTGCAATTGAAGAGTTAAATTCCATAGTAAAAATCGACAGAAAATTACTATTACTTTTATATAATGTTTGAATGCTAAAAGTTTCTAGCATTATATAAAAATCATATAGTTATAAAGGAGAAATGCCAATAGCTCATAATCTACCAAACCAATTTGAATAACTCTAACATTATTAGAACTAGAATAACTTGTTCTATAACTTTGTTAGAAACTCAAGGTTTACTTGGTATAAAAACTTTTTATTGTAAGCTAGCTACATTTCAACCCTATAAAAAAACTATATTAACTTCTGGCTATTTTTTATATTCTTTAACTGTGATTTACCTTTTAATTAATTTTAATTAATTTTTTAATTTATTTTAATTTAGTTTATTTTTTATTATTTTTTAGTTTCATTAAAAGCATAATAAAACTTTTGGCACTATTTGAAGAAATAACTTGAAAAGCTTCTGATGCAAAATATCCTACAATTAATTTAATATATCCTATATGTACTTATTAAAGCAAAGGTTTGCTCCAACTGGTAGTAATACACTAGATAGCTATATAGACTTAATATACTGTCCAATTTCATCTGAAAATACCAATAAAACTAATTATATTAACAGCAACACAGATAGTAGTGCTGAAAATTCAGCATCTACTTCTGGTACTTATCAACATTCAAAAAAAACCTATAATAAAATTCATAAAAATAATAATAAAGCTAAGCATAATAGTTGTAAGTGTAAGTGTAAATATAGACATAGGCATGGACATGAATGTGGACGAGGATGTGGACATGGACATGGACAAGAATCTAGACAGAAATATGATCATAATTATAGTTATGATAGTCAACAGAAAAGTGAATATAATCAAAATTTTACTGGTTTGGTAGAAAAATTTCAAGCTGCAATTTACCTTTCTCTTGATGAATTATAAAATGTTTCAGATAAAATAGCATTTTTAGCTATAATTTTGAATTCTTGTCTTAAAGGTCTTTGATTTGTTAATCAAAATAAACATATTAATATTCAAGAAAAACTTCAAGTTAAATATGAAGAACTAAGTTATAACTTATATGTATCTCCATTAACACAAGTATCAATTAATCAAAATAAGAAGGACAATACATTTGCTAATTTGTGGACTTCTAATCAAGAAATAATTCAGACTGAAAAAGATGAAGTCTTTCAATATATAAACTTTTCAAAAGTGTTAGAAAATAATAATTCACTAACTTGGTGAAATGATCATAAACAGATTTTTTTAATTTTATCGTTATTGGCTCATAACTATCTTGGTGTTTTTGCAACATCAGTTCTGAGCAAAAGACTTTTCTCTGATGCAGATGCACATATTTTAGCTTGCCAAACTAAATTGCATTCAGATTTGGTAAATCATATACTTTTTTTGAAAAGAAATCTTGAACATGTTAATAATATTTTTCTTTCTGTTTTTGAATAACATTATATACATATATATATATTATAAAATATAGTAATATTCATATAAAGTTCATTATTAATATATAAAATATATAGATAGTAAATAATTAATATGAGAAATATGTTTTAAATATACATAGATATACTACCTATTTTAATAATATTATAGCGTAAAACTAAAGTGTAAGAATATGACATTAATTATTTCACTAAGCATATTGTTATTGTTTGTGTCAAAAGGTAATGTTCTAATAATTAATGCAGATTAGCATTTATTAATTGAATTTTTTATATTGATCATTATCGCCTTGTACATGTAATCTGTAATAAGTAATTTAATTAAGAGTAGGTTAATTGGATCAGATCACAATTATGAAATTAATTTAATTTAATCAATTAATTATTGATAAGTATTAATTATAGTCAAATTGAGTTCAATAAAATAAATAAGTCTATAAATTTCTTTGCAAATTTAGTTGATAGTTCTGTAGTTTTGCCTTTTATTCAAAGTTACATAATTGATAAACTTCACAGCCCTTGCTAACCACAAATGACAGTCATGGCAAAATATGATTGTTACTGACATTTCAATACAAAGGTGTGAGTTCAAGTTTATTGATTTATTTAAACAATATTTTATTTTACTTTCTCACATCTCTTGATTACATCTAGTGATTGATGATGAAATAGATAAAATTTGTAATATGTAAGTGATTTATAATTATTACAATTTTAATATATAATAAATAACTATGGCACCAATCTATAATTATACTCCAATTGATTAATGATCGAAACATATGATTACAGGCAAAGTAATATGTATTTTTTACTTTTTCTTTTCTTTTTTATTAATATAGCATTAACCCTTTTTTTCAATTTGGAATATTCAATTGTTATTTATATACAACATATTACAAGCATCAACTCACTGAAAAACTAATTTTATGAGTGTAGTGATTATTTATACCAGTATGATCACATTTCATGTGTAATATGAAATGTGGCCTATGCTAATTTTTAAATTTTCTGTTTTGATAAGAGTAATGTTTTTCATTTATCTATTTTTGAAGAGGTATGATTTTCAACTTTTAAATAATAATTGGTTGTGATAACTGTCATTTAGAATAAGAACATTTAAAAGGAACTGAGATTTTTACATGCTGTACAATATAACTCTGTATGCAGATCACACAATATATATAATGCAAAGCAATAATTATTAATTTCAAAAGTTATCATCATGATGTAATGTTGATGTTAATTTTAAAATTTATTATCATGATGTAATGCTGGTGTTACTAATTGTTAATAGGAATGCTAATAACTTAATCGACTCTATTGATTAATCAGTTTTTATGATATAAATATACAAGTCGAGTCAAGCTCTTCTAGTAATTGTTAATTTTAAATTTTATGATGCAAAGCTATTGATCATCAGATTTTTTAAATTTGTTTTTCACTGTTTGCATATTTCATTAACTTACAATTAATTTATTAAAATCACTTCAGACATATCAATACTCAATTTGTTGACAAGCATATTTTATAAATAATTAATTTACAGATAATTTTATTTTATAGATAATATATTTTACTAGTAGCTTATTTCACAAATTAATTTCAGTTATTGTCATTAGGATTAGATTTAGAATTAGTTAAGTTAAATGAGCTATCAGTGAAAGATATCGTATATGAAATGGCTTGTCTGTAAATTAATCATCTGTAAATAAGCTTTTTAAAGAAATAAGTGTCGATGAAATGTTGTGTCTTTAAATTGAAATAAAATAAACCTACAAAATTTAGATTTATTTATAAAATAGCATCAAATTGTTCAAATTTCTTTATGATAAACAACAATTATTGGAAGCCACAGTAATTTGAAAAGAAATAGTCATTTTAACCTTTATAGTATTTCATTAGATGCAGATATTTTCTGGTTGATTGCATAGCAGTGCAAGAATTTCAGTTTGGTGATTAAGCCTTATAACTATAATAATAGGATTCCAGGTTTGGTAATGATTTGAATGTATGTATGATCATACTGGTCCTGCACAGCATTACATGTTGCACAGGTATCTTATGTTATTAATTGAAATTGTAAAATAACCATTATTTTATAAAGTAATTAATTAAATTATATTTATTCATTTCATGTACTTGCTCATGTAATATTAGATTATCTATATATATGATTAGGATTAATAGTAGCACTTTTGAATCTAACAGGATTGCTTCTGACATATTCCTGCTTAGCTACCTTTTTATTATCTTCTGTCAACTTGAATTAATAATTAATATGAAAAATACAAAATATTAAATTATTAAATTTAATTTCAAACTCTATGAAGAATACATACCATAGAGGTTTATTGTAAACATTTTGTAATAGTAACTTGTGATATATAATGATTTTTTTGTAATGGTTATATAATAGTTTTGTAATAGCTATGTAACAGTTTTGTAATGGTTTTGTAATAACTATATAATAGTTTTGTAATGGCTATATAACAGTTTTGTAACAGCTATATAATGGTTTTGTAATGGTTATGTAATAGTTTTGTAATATCTATATAACAGTTTTGTAATGACTATATAACAGTTTTGTAATAGCTATGTAATAGTTTTGTAATAGTTTTGTAATGACTATATAACAGTTTTATAATAGTTTTATAACAGTTTTGAATATTTGAATTAATTCAAATTTATACTTATTATAAATTAATTTGAATATTCAGTTAATTGAATATTCGATTCCAACCTTTACCCTTAATAATATATATTTCAATAGTAAAAAATGACTTGCATGTTTTTAGATGTCTAAAAAGAGACATTTTACTTTCAATTATTTTAGACAAATTTATTCTTTAACATGTCTATAACCAAGTTGCATTTACTGCAATAAAAATAACTTGCTTTTGAACAGTTACAGTATGAAACAATATTTTTGTAAAAAATTAATTTGGAATTTAAACATTATTTGGTGATTGCCTAGAAACAAATGGAAAAACAAAGTAAACTGTAGGGAAGTTTACTATTGTTTTTTGCCTTTGAAATCAGAATCTCCCAAAAAGCAAATCGATTTTTACAATGTAAATATCTTTTTTACTCCTAATAAAAGTTGTAGAGAAGAGAATTCAGAGCATAATAGTAGTTATGGGTTTGGGTCAATATCCCAAAGATCAAAATCCCAAAGGTACTAAATCTCAATACACTAAATACTAAAAGAACAAAATTTCAAAAGTACAATATCCTAAAAATTAAATCCTAAAAAAAAAAAATCCCAAAAAATTATAATCTAAAAAATTACAACCCAAAAGATAAAATCACAAAAAAT